GATCGCAAGACCGTGACTTCTCCCTTCTTAGGTTTTCTCGATGTTTACCTTTCCCTACATGTGGGATAAAAGACGTTCGATAGCGACTTTATTGTTTGATGATTTTTAGCCGGTTGTTTCATACTCCATACCATCGAAGTGTTTTAAATTATATGGTAGACAACCACATCATCAACATATGTATCCCCAGTGGAATGAAGGGAATGAATTTCATCTTCAATAAGTTTAGAGTGCCAAGCCTAAAATAGTTATTCATTTCGCTTGTACATCACTCAGGGTGTTATATTATAAAGATTATTATTTTAATCGTAGTTGCACTAGACCCATGAAACGAGAAAGAAACTATGTTATGTTTGGTGATAGCTCTAAGAGAAAGAAGTTTGTAGAGATGAAGATTCATGCAACTAACATTATAGAGAAGAATGTGGAAGATCATATTATTGACATCATGGATGACATTGTAATTACGGAAACTAAGTTATGTCACAAAAAGCTTGGGAGCACGAGGAACCTTATTGCAGAGCAAGTTGTCAGTTGTGTGTCTGATCTTAAAATTGAAGAAGGAAAAATTCATGATAACATTTAAGTTGGGAGGAAAACCAAGATTTCATATAAGATGTTCCAATATCTCACTCGTGTTCCCGAATTACATCATATGGACCTTATGGGACCCATGCAAGATGAGAGTCTTGGAGAGAAGAGATATGTCTTTGTATATGATGATGACAACTACTAGTTTGATTGTATTCATGAGAAGTCTAATACCTTCACTATTTTGAATCTGTTTTCCGTTACTTACAATGTGAAAAAGAAGAATAAATTGGCAAGATCACACGTATTCAAAGATATCATGGTAGATAATTTGAGAGCTCTAACTTCTACTTGTTCTACACTACTAAAGGAATTACTCATGGGGTTTCTATTCCCATATTTCCCTAAACAAATTGGGATTGTCAAAAGGAAGAACCACACCTTTCAAGTAATGGCGAAAGTCATGCTCTATGCCATAGAAATTCATATTGGGGTTCCTTCTCATATTTTTGGAATTTTTTATATTAAAAAACATGATATTTTGTCTAGTGAAGATAAAATTGGTGCTCTTCTTAGTTTGTTGGATTTGGGTTACAAATTGTTTTTCGGGAAACATGTCCTAGACATTGTTCTCCCTATTATTCCATATTTTGACGAGTCTGATCTGGCTACTGGTGGAAATGTTCTTGATGTGCCACTCATGTATGGGCTATAAGAAACCATCCTCTTAAGATTTGTAGCAGTGAATCTAATGCTTTAAAGGAAATAGTTATTACATCCACTACTAGAGAGGTTATAATTGAAAGCCTTAATCAAATGTTGAATATAAAGGTTGTTGGTACGTTATCTTCTCAAGTTATCATTCGAGATGTTGGGAAAGATGTTAAGACAATGAGTGAAGACGTGACAAGTAGTGATGACGAAATATTTTTGTGGTGTTCCATTAATAGTAGGGAATATACAATACTTAAGAAACACACAAAATCTATGATGGAATTCATAAAGTTATTTGTTAATGGTTTTCAAAATGAAGTGACTCCCCATGAAGATGAATATTTTGATCTCATGGGTTATGATATTGAGCAATTTGTTTATGACAACATAGGGAACAACTTCCAGTCACTTGAAGTAAAGAAATTTGCTGCTGAAAAAGTCTGTGGTTAAAAGAAAATATGCACCAAAAAGAAAGAAGTCTTATACCCAAATTATAAGGCATATGTGTGTTGAAGATACCCAAATAATGTTTTACTTAATCAAGTATAACACCATTTTTACTCATATTATGGGACAAAATAGCACCTAGGGTAGATCCTCCTAGGTTGACATGCCTCAATCTATCACTTAAGTGCATTTCTCCCTTCTCCTCCCTATCCCAAGGACTCTGAATCATATTATAAACGTTTGAGTTATCCATATCATGAGCATCATTTGAGAGTGAATGAGAGACAAAACTTCTTCTTTGTCTTCTCCCTAAACAACATTCAGCTGACCACCAAAAACAACGACCTCAAACCCTTCTTCTTCTTCCTCAACACCACCGATCGGCCACTATTTTTTTAGGAAACTAACCTAACCGAAGAATCTTCCATCTCATCGTCTCCAAAAACCTCATTGATACCACCCCACCCATCATGAACCGACTTTTCTTCTTCCCCTTCAAGCAATTGTGATTCACGAGCCCCTGAAATTGATGAACAACTAGATTTCACTTCCTCACACACCCAAATGGAGAAGACATTCTTCCCAACAATTGTCCTCTTCATCACCATTATTTTTACAATTGTTCACATCCCCTCCTTGTTGCATATGTGGAGGATAGCCATGCTTCTTGAAGCATTAATCGACTATGTGGTTTGTCATGCCACAGTGAGTACGCACTTTGTTATTTCTACCCCTGCCTCGATCATTGTTGTATCTGCCAACTCTACCACATTGTGATGAAGAGTTTCTGCCAAAATACTGATTATTGGATATAATTAGAATTTTGGATTCATCAAGATTAAGAAGTGATTGTCTTTCTTGTTAAACAAGTAAAGAGTACACTTTTCCAATACTGGAAAGCGGTTCCATTAACATGATTTGTCATCTTACATCTTCATATTGATCACTAAGCCCTTTGAGGAGTCTAATAATTTGATCATTATCTCTATAATTATGCATTTTCTCGAGCACGTAACATGCATCACGACAACTGTTATGCGACATTGGACGAAAATTATCAAGTTCTTGCCACAACTTTTTCATCTTAGTATAGTAAGTGGAAATGGTACAATCACCTTGTTTCAAGGTGTAAATCTCTTCTTGTAAATCAGAGATGCGAAAAACATCACCTTGGTAAAAACGTTCTTTGAGTTCAGTCCAGATTTCTGCATTAATTTCCATCAATATTATGCTTTGTGAAATCTCTAGTACCACGTAGTTGCTGAGCCATAACATAATCATGGTGTTGCATCGATCCCAAGCAATTAAATTTTTATCTTCATCAGATGGACGAGGTAAGGAGTCATTGATGAAATATAGCTTGTGTTTGGAATGAAGCGTGACTTGTACAACTCGTGACCAAGAATGGTAGTTGGGACCAGATAAAGGAGGAATAGCAAGAAGATTATCAAGGTTTTCATTTGAATGCAGGAAATAGAGATTAAGTATATTAGTTTAGTAGCCTTTTGTTCCAGGTTGTGTTTGAGGAGTGCCATGGACAGTGCGAGTGGAGCACTCTGCAGTCATGGCGAACAAACAACAAAGAATTTTGAAAATATCAAGAATGGCCAACAAATGGTTGAACTTTTGTGGAGAAAAAAAAAAGAGAATTATGAGGCAATAAGGAAGAAGAAGAAACAGAGGATAATGGTAAAGATTTTGCTCCTGATACCATGTAAAAGTTAATGGTGATACATCATTATTGCATAGAAAATTTAGAGAAGAAAGAGTAAGAAGATGTAATTTGTGTATTGCTCACAAAACTAACTATTACATAGTGAGAGTCTAGCGTATATACACCTCATAGTCTTAACAATGATCATGGAAGAAAAGATTGAACAAGTATGAAAAATGTTTTTTTTTTCTAGATCCTTCCTCTGTTTGGAACAAGAATAAAAGTGAAGGATTGATATTTTTTTTATGGCTCTCACATCCATTTTTGTTTCCACTTAAATATGAAAAGAAAGTCACATAAAGATAAAAAATAATGTTGAAAATATAATAGTAATATTTTTGTTTTCAAAAATATTTTATTTATATGTAAGAAAATAAATATTATTAGTACTGATGCATATATTATGACCTCTAACTTTTCTTCTACTTTTACATTATCAAACTAACTAGATATTGAGTTGGAAAAAAATGGAAAGTATCATTACTTATATTTTTATTTGATAAAAATTAAAATATACAAAATATATATTACACTTTTAAATAATATAAATGTATTATATTCTAAAATTTTAGTAATAACATTCTTCATTTCTTTTGAGAAATAAAAATGATCTCAACTCTTAAATATTGATTTGGTTTTTCACTCACTTCATTCATTAAATTTTCAATCCTTCTAATTTTTCTTTCCTTTCACTTTCTATTCCAATTCAAACAAAGCAAGTGATCAGAGAAAGAGAGGAGGGTCTTCTCCCCAACCATTTTTGATATTTTTATATGCCACAAATTTATCTTAATCAACAAAGAGAAGAATCTTTACACATAAAAGGAGGATAAAACAATTCTGGTGATATTTATAGTTATTACATTTAAATTTTAAAAAACTTCTATTATTTTTCTCTCGCTATTGTTCTCTTAAGAATCAATTTAATATTGTTATTCTCCAATTCACGTTTTCATATTTTTAGAATTAACATGTACACATTTAATAATAATAATAATAATAATTAATAATAATAATAATAATAATAATAATAATAATAATAATAATAATAATAATAATAATAATAATAATAATAATAATAATAATAATAATAATAATAATTTAAATGAATGAGTTGATATCTGCTAGTCCATGGTTGAATCTTTGACGGTAGTTCAACAAATTTCTTCTAAAAAATAATAAAAAAATTTAAAGGAAATTTTTTAAATATTAATGATATTTTAAGGTGAATTTTTTCAAATGGCTAAAGTTGACTATATTATATAACAATTTAATTCATAAACACTATTAGTATATTAAAAAAATTACATATGGTAACTTTTTATTATCACAAATGTTTAACTTTACCTTTTAAAGTGATATATAATATTGATTATGGTTTGTTGATAATTTACATTGTTTTTTACAAAATATATAATGTGTGAGAATGTTACCTTTTAAAAGAAAGTTTATATTGTGAATGTGGTTTGACCCTTTATAGGAAAAAACTATTGATATTATCAATTTTGTAATATTTTTACAATATGCATAAATACCCCTCTTAGTCCTATTTTTCTTTTCACAAACCCTAAGCATACAAACTTATTTAACAAAGATGGCTAGTTTGAGTGGTTTCAGAAATCATCTAGGCACACCAACAACTTCCATCCACATCACCTGTCTTCGTCCATATCATGGTTGCAAGAAAATCTACAAGGTAATGCATAGCCACCTTAAGAAAACGAAGAAGCAAGAGGATGATAAATGCTTGTGGAAGAAGACCATATTAATGGGGGAGAAATGTCAACCATTGGAATTTTCAGGTGCAATATTTTATGATAGTGAAGGGAATCAACTTTCTGAGCCACCAAGGACACCAAGGATTAGTCCTTTAATTTCCCTTGGTAAATCTATGTCCCAAATCAACTAAAATTGTAAGGTCAAGAATAGTCTTATATATGTTCTACATCCCATGACTTCTTTAATAAAAAGTTTAGTATACATTTCTGAGGTTTCTGGCTATTTTATTTTATTTTTGTGCAATGTTTAATTTATTAAATTTACTATTTTATGAATTGGTCTTATTATAATGTTGTGAAATGTTTATGTTATATATAAGGATGAAAACAGATCGGATTAATTAATGGGAGTTATAATTTAGTCTATACTAGTTCAGATTAGATTAAATTTTCTTTTTAAATAAAGAAGGTTTAAGTTTTTTTTATAATCTTATTTTGTTAAAAAAGTTAGATCACGAGATATAATTTTTTTTTTTAATTTATCAGACTGATTTATTTAAATAAATATAAATAATTTTATTATTAATATTATATTATATTTTATAAATTTTTAATTTTAATATACAAATAAATTTTAGTGATCTTGAATAACTTATGAAAATAAAATGAAAAAGCTTATGAATAATATCATAAGTTGTATTCATAAGTTCTCTTAAATAAATAGTATCATAAAAATTATTGTATTATGTAAACTCAAACAAATCAATGCAAATAAATATTTAGTTTCATTGATTTTTTAATGTTATGGTCTATTTAAACATAAGTTGAATTGTTTATTTACAAATATTTAAATGAAAGAGTCTTCTAAGTAGGTTAATATCAGGTCTTCTAAAGGATCAGACTCAAACTTAAAAATAAATCTATGATAAGTTACCGATCATACTAGACTTTGGAAATTTTAATATTTATATACACTTTTAATCACTATTATAAGTAATAATTTTTTTTTTCATTTATTGAACAATTACTGTATTTGATATATAATAATAATAATCAGATACATCAATTAATCAATAGACAATTTTTTTTTAATATTATTTATAATAATAATTGAAAAATATATTAATTAGAAGAAAACTTATATACAATTTTTACTATTTTTCAATAAAAATACAACAAATATATTAAATATTGTTTAAGGATTAAAAATAGAAGAAAATTATATATATATATATATATATATATATATATATATATATATATATATATATATATATATATATATATATATATATATATATATATATATATATATATATATATATATATATATATATATATATATATATATATATATATATATATATATATATATATATATATATATATATATATATATATATATATATATATATATATATATATATATATATATATATATATATATATATATATATATATATATATATATATATATATATATATATATATATATATATAAAATTACATATTTATCATATTTTCTTTTGAAAATACTAAATATTACATTTAAAAAATTGTATCGAAAATTCTTCTTATCAGTTATACTTTTAGAAATGCATATGTGCATTAGACATAACATGATTCAAGAATAAGATTGCCAAAGTAATGGTCATAGCTTTTTCAAAATATAATTAAAAACTTAATTATAATGGCCATATTTGTCTTTAATATTCCAAAATAAAATTAGTCAAATTATTATCTTGACTAAAATCAAATAAGATCTAAAATTAAAGTTTTCTTAAAAGCATTAAGTTAATTGATTTTATTATTAATTAAAAAATAATAATAAATAAGTTTATTTAATGAGGTGCGTAGTATAGTTCAACTGGTACATATTAATTCAATCAAATACGTGTAATCTAACATTTCAATTATTGACGGCCATCTTTATTTATATATTTGCATTAATGTAAATAATTTATTAATATTTATAAAAATAACAACTATGCATCATAACAAGACATATATGAACGGATTTAAGCACTACCAAACCAGCAAACCTGTCTCCTCCAACCGGAATGAGTTTCTGCGCAATATCCCGCCTAACTGTATTTAATTATTCAAATCTTTTATTTTATTTTTCATATAAAAAACTCTTTATATTCTTAAACTTTCACTTTTTTTCATATAAAAAATTCTTCATATTCTTAATTGATTTTTAATTTCATTCACCTCAAATAGTAATAAATGATTTATTATATATTTTTATTATACCCTCAAATATTTATTCTTTATATTCATTCAATTTTTAAATTTATCTTTTCTATATTATCAATACAAGACAATTCTATAAAAAAAAAAGTTATTTTCTATATAATAATTATTATATTATGTAAATTTTCATAACAAATATTATAATGTTATATTTCCATTCCGTATTCCAATTTAAATATTTTAATGTTATATTTTCATTCTAAATTTCAATCTTTAATATAAATTTTAATGTTATATTTTCATTCCAAATTTCAATTTAATCCTCCAACCAAGTAAATTTTTAATTCTACTCTCTAATATAAAAATTGATATCATATATACTATACATATTCAAAAAAAGTAAAAATTGATAGTTAGTTTTCGTCTCTCTAAATTATTTATTATAAACACATAATAATAGCCTTAAAAAACATTCGTATAGATGTTATTAAATAATTATATTATATAAATTTTTCATAACGAATATTTTAATACTATATTTTTATTTCATATTCCAATTAAATACTTTAATACTATATTTTATTCAAATCCTTATCTTTTATATAAATTTTAATGCTATATTTTCATTCCAAATTTCAATATGATCATCTCATGTACAATTTTAAACCGTTAGAATAATCAAACGTTAAACGACATAATAAAATATGATTTAAAAAAAAAGAGAATATTGCCTATATAATTTGTTGCCACGTAAGTTGTTCTTTTTTATTTAATGTTTTCCTATCAAATAAATATTTTTATATGTTTTTTATTTGGTAATAATTAAAATAATTTTATACATATTTAATCAATTAATTAATTTTTATATTAAAAAAAAGAGAATAATCATAATAATAATAATTTATTATAAACATCATGTAAAAATGTATGTAAGTAAAAAAATACTTAAATTTAATATTTTATTATATTGTCAACATAAAAATACTTAAAATTAATATTTTAGAATTTTCTATACTTCATCGTTTAAATGTTTTTTTTAAAATATATCAGTTATAATTTTTATACAAAAAAAATATTTTTCATTAAATTGAACAAAATATGTTTCATTAGGGTTTTTTCCACTCGTATTTCAGTTTGGTGTGAGGTTGAAGACGAGTGTGTGGAAACATGTGATTGGTTGGGCTTGTGTTTTGTCTTTTAGTGCTTAAGTTGTATGTGACCAGTTGATAAAATGTCCACGTGATTTTTGTGTGTCACACTTTTTATTTAAATCAAATGAAATAAATTGGAAAATCAGAGAAATAGATTCGTTAGTGGATAGTGGTCCCAGGGCATGTGTGGCGTGTTTTCATTTGATCTGGACATTTATTTTGCAACTCTTTTGAAATAGTGTCACAAAATTAATTTGCGACCCTTTCAATTGTGTCACTCTTGACAATTTTTATTTCTTTAATTTTCCCTTTTATTCTATTTTCTTCTCTGATTTTATTTTAATTGTTCCAATACTCTAAAAATTTCAAAAATATTCATGAACATACTTTATTGTGTCATTTAGTTTTCTATGATTTTTGTTTGAATTTTCAAATTGTTTTGATATTTATTTCTGATTTTGTGATGAAGTGTGTTTTACTTGACCTAGTTTGCAATTTAGGATTTTATTTTTGACGTTTTCAATTTCTTGTTGATCCTAATTTTTGAACACACTTAGGTACATGTATATAGGGATTTTAAATGTTAATTTTATGCCTTGATAATTTATTTTGGTTCATGTTTGATTTTTTTTTAAGCTTAACTTGTTTGATCAATAGTTACCTTTGATGCTTGATGACTGATTGTCTTTTGAGAAATTTTGTGAACTTCCTTTAGGCACATTTAGGAAATATTTGAGCTGACTTCATGATACTTTGATAATTTTTCTTTCTTTTTTGAAGCCTCCTACGTATTATATTTGTTGGATACAATGCATGCATGCTTGCCTAAATTTGTGTGTACATTGGTGTGATGTTTAGAGGTGCACTTGTGCAACCATTTAGGAATTGTGCTTCCCTATTGTTATTGATTTAAATACCATGTAGTAGATCCTCCTTCCTCATTTTTATATGTCATTTTATGCCCTCTTGAATGTGGATTCACTTGTGTGAAATTTGTCATGTATGCTTGCCTATCTTTGGTGTCATTCCTTGAGCTTCACATGATATTCCTTCTTGATGCTTATCATACCTATGTGATTGATATTACATGTCATGTTCTTATTACTTATTTGGTTTTATACCTCCATTCCATGATCCATCTTCCCCTTTACTTAACTTGATGTTAATATTCCATTAGGAGGATGCTTAATTTTTGTTTTGATCTCTTCTTGTCTCAATCTTTAAGTATGCCTTGGTATGATGCCTTTGTGACACTATTGAGTCTTCAATGTATGATTATAATATGTCCAAGCTTCTTACTTTTCATGTTTTGTTGCATATTCTCATGCTCTTGTACTCTTCTTACTTTGTTTGGATGATTGACTTCCTTTGTTGACTTTGCTTGATGTTTACATACTTGTTTGATCATGCTTTGGTTTCAATTATTGATTGATTTTTCTTATGCCATAGAGACATGTTTAGGTTGAAATTATCATTCATGTTTAACTCATCTTGATTTCCATGTCCTTTCTCTTTTGTCTTTGCTTGATGGCACTTCATGTTTAGAGGACTAGTTACCAATTAAGGATGTGTGTGATAATGTGCTTGTGTGATGTTGTTGTGTATCTTTCTCAAGCATGAATGTATGATTGTGATGATTTTTTTAAGCCTTTTCTGCTGACTTGTATGTCCCTTCATCTCTTTCATTTCACTTCACCTTCTTATGCCATATTTGGTTAGGCAATTGACATATAGAGCTTCACATGCTAGTGTGCTTATTTGTTCGCCTTCTCTTATGCATGACCCATAGGGTTTGTTTAAAATGTCTTGGTGTTTACTTTGATGTGAAGTTTCTGCCTTATAAG